CAAAAAACAATCTCTGATCTCATAGTCTAATGGGAAGAGACAACATGCAAATAAGTAGGTACAAACAAGCTAGAGGTGGGGTAACTTGGAGAAAATCTCAGAGGGAAGGCACTAGCATTGAAGGGAATGAGGTGGGAATTTGGCTGGTATTGGAACGAAGCCAGGAAGGCCAGGAGGTGGAGATGAGGAGAGAGAGAAGTCCAGGTGTGAGGGAGAGACAGAGAAAATGTCTAGGGGGCAGCTAGGTGGTGCAGTGGATAGAGTACCGGCCCTGAAGTCAGGAGGACCTGAGTTCAAATCCAGCCTCAGACCAAACACTTGACACTTACTAGCTGTGTGACCCTGGGCAAGTCACTTAACCCCAATTGCCTAAGAACAAAACAAAATGTCTAGAGTTGGAAGGTGAGGGGTCTTGTATGAGGAACAGCAACGAGGCCATTATCACTGGACTGAAGAGTACATATGGAGAATAAGATGGAAGAAGCCTGGAAAGAAGATGGGGAGCCGGCCTAGGTCATGAATGTCAAACAGAGAATTTTACATTTGATCTTGTAGGTGACATTGTAAGACTAAGAGCCATTCCCCAAAAGACAAATGGTCAAAGGATACAAACAGGCGTCTTTCAAAGAAAGAAATACAAACTATCAACAGCCATATTTTTAGAAATATGTATTGCATGACTTCACATGTATATCATATTGCTTGCCTTTTCATTGGGTAGGGGAGAGGCTGGAGGGAGGAAGAGAATTTAGAACTCAAAAATCAATGTTTAAAAAAATTAAATTAGGGGCAGCTAGGTGGCACAGTGGATAGAGCACCTGGACTCAGGAGTACTTGAGTTCAAATATGACCTCAAACACCTAACACTTACTAGCTGTGTGACCCTGGTCAAGTCACTTGACCCCATTGCCTAGCTCAAAAAAAAAAAATTAAATTAAATTAAACAGCTACACAAAAAAGTGCTCCAAATCACTAATGATTAGAGAAATGCAAGTTAAGGCAACTCTGAGGATCCATTTCACACTCCTTAGAATGGCAAAGATGACAAACGAGAAAAATTTCAAATACGGGCAGAGCCATGAATTGGTCCAGACATTCTGGAAAGCAATTTGGAACTATACCCATCTACTCCATGGTAATACTTCTAGTGATACTGGGCTTATCCGCTGCAAAGACATCTAATAAAGATGAAATATGCCCATAGTGTTGTTTGGTTGTTTCTGTCATGTTTGACTCTTCATAGCCCCATTTGGGGTTTTCTTAGCAAAGATGCTAGAGTGGTTTGCCATTTCCTTCTTCAGCTCATTTTACAGATGAGGAAACTGAGGCAAACAGGGTTAAGTGCCTTGCCTAAGGTCACATAGCCAGTAAATTTCTGAGGCCAGATTTGAACCCAGGAAGATGAGTCTTCCTGCCTCCAGACCCAGTGCTCTATGCACTATGACACCACCTAGCTGCCCAAAATAGGCCCATATGGAGACCAAGGGGGTGGCCACCTATTGGGGAATGACTACACAAATTATGGCATATGAATGGAATGGAATATTACTGAGCCATAAGAAAAAATGAAATAGAGTTTCAGAGAAAACTGGGAAGACCTCTATAAACTGATGCAAAGTGAAGTGAGCAGAACAATTTATGCAATGACAAAACTGTTATTTTATTTTGTGTTGTTTTTTGTTTGTTTCTTTGTTTCTTTGGTTTTTGAGACTGGGACTCCTTGCCTCACATCCACTCTCAGGCTGGATCCCAATTCTGACTGGAATGGAAACATTTTTTCAACTGGGTCTGGTTTTTCCCTCCTTCAGCAGCCTGGTGGCCCTTCACTCCTGAGAGCTCGCCATATTGGTACCAGACAGTGCAGACATCTGATCAGCCTTGGTCCTACTATAGCCCAGAACCCTAGCCTCAGCTTCCCCTATTAGCAAAGACTATAGATGAGAGCATCACACCTGGCTGACAGCAACATTATAAAGAAAAATAACAATGAAATATTTTAGAACTCTGATCAACACAATCACCAGCATGATTCCACAGGACCAGAGACGAAAACTCTTACCCCACCTCCCATACTTAAAAATGTAGAATGAGACATATTTTTGGACTTGGCTGATATAGGAATTTTTTCTGCTTGGTTTTGAATATTTTTTACAAGAGCCCTATCTATCTATCTATCTATCTAACTATCTATCTATCTATCTATCTATCTATCTATCTATCTATCTATCTATCTATCTATCTTTCTGTTAAGGGGGTCAAAGTGTGAGAGAAAATAAATACTCATAAAAAATAAAAGTAATATATAAATATAAAATATTTATAATATATAATAAAAGTATATAAAATATTTATAAAAACATAAAAATAAAGTTGTTTTTTTTTTTAATTGGAAATAAAAAGACAGCCTGGCAGCAGAGAGCTCACTTCAAAGTCAAGAAGACTTGGGTTTAAGTCTTGCCTTGGACTCATCCCTACTGGGCAGGATCTCTTGGGCTCCTAGACAGCTCTCTAAGCTGAGAAGCAGCAGAGAAGATGCTGATCTGCATGGATAGAGGGAGGTCCTCACCAGGAGCTCCCTACATGAATGAAATCACAGGTTGGTTAAAAAAACAAGCAAACAAGCAAACAAATCCCTGTAAATAATGTAGAACTTATGGAGCAATCGATGTGACATACCAAAATCTAGGTTTGAATCCTGTCTAGTTTACTGAGCCCTGTAGGGCCTTGGACAAGTCATTTCAGCTCTATAGGCCTCAGTTTCCTCCTATATAAGAGGAAGGGGCTGGATGAGATGAAATCAAAGGTTGCTCCCAGCTCTAAATCTGACCCTAAGACTTGGAGGTTTCTTTGTTTATTTGAAGGTTTTTGTGGACAACTATTAGTTTATAATTTTAAAAACTAAGTGAGAAAAGACCCAGATAGCCCAGTCACACAGCCAATCCTGACTTTCCTTGCTATTCCCAGGAAGGGGCAGGCAGTCAACTAATCAGTCAACATTTATTAAGCATTTAATGTGTGCCAGGCACTGCACTAAGCCCCAGAATAATAGATTAACCCACTTTTCAAAGTGTTGTTTCCTTCCCCCCCCACCCCCCCATTCATTTACTCTTTTCTTCAAGGCTCACAATACAATCTGGTGAGTGGGTAGGATGGGGCCCAGCTCCATAGACAGAGGAGTAAGGGAGGTAAAGGGACTTGCCTGGTGGGCTCATAGCGCTTAGAGCTGGAGGAAACCCTAGACATCATTTAATCCCACCCCCTTACTTTAAAAAGTAGGCAGCAGACAACGTGCCCACGGTCAAAGAGATGATAAAAGGCAAAGGCAGGATTGGAACCCAGGTCTCCAGACTCCTGGCTCACACTCTAACAGACTAAAAGGTAAGAGAACTCAGTATTCACCCCAGTCTTCAAAATGATCCCGTTTTCTCTGCGGTCTCTGGCTGAAAGACTGAATGATCATGCATGAAGCAACCAGCCTTCCAATGTCAGGAGCTACTGAATATAGGCATAGAGGCATAAATGTCAAGTTTATGAAGTTCACAGATGGCACCAAATAGGAATGGATAGCTGACACTGTGGGTGACAGGATCCTCAGAGGTCTCGGAGATAGGCTAGAACATAAGACTGAACCCAGTAAGATCCATTTTGATAGGGATAAATATAAAGTACTGAGCTTTGGCTCAAAAAATCAACTTCACAAGTATAAAATGAGGTGAGTAGTCGCTATCTGGAAGAGATCTAAGAATTGATGTGGCAGCTCAAAAAATTAACAAAATCTTAGGTGTATTTAGTTGGGAATAGCATTCAGAGAGAATGAGGCGATCATCTCAATGTGCTCCGCCCTGGTCAGAGCACATTTGAAATACTGTGCTCAGTTCTGGCATCCACATTCTAAGAGGCACAGGGATGTCCAGAGGAGGGTAACCAAGATGGTGAAGAGCCTTGAGGTCATGCCATGTTAGGATCAATTAAAGGAACTGGGGAGTTTAGGCAGCAGAAGAGAAGTCTTAGGACTGGATGGGAGAGCTCTCTTCAAGACTTTGAAGAACTGTACCCCAAATCCTGCTTGGCCCCAGGAGACAGGAACAATGGACAGAGAAGATGGTGGAAAGAGGAACCAAAGTCATAGCGAGTATCCAAGGGAGGACAACTGGAAAGATGATGGACCTCAAGGTCCGATGAAGTAGCCAGGGATGGAGAGGAGAAGACTTTGGGTGGGACTGGCTTCCAAAGCAGGGAAGAGGGATCCCCCTTGTTCTGCTTGGCCCCAGGAGGCAGAACCAGTAGCAACGGGGTCAAAGAAGCAAAGACACTAAATTTGCCATTAGGCTTGATGTAAAAAACAAACCAACAACAGCTCCCCTCCCCCAACATTCTTAACAAGTGTAGAATCGCAGACTCCAAACTGCAGGACGCGCACCCCAGCAACCTCTAATCCAATCCAAAAATGGACGGGCTTCATGCCAAGGCTGGATCGTCACTGGTCTGGCATGTTGTGGAGCCGTTTTTTTTCTGATGTGGGCTGGACTAGAACGCCTTTGAGGTCCTTTCCCAACTCTCAAACTCTGTGAATTAACAAATCTAGCTCATTGTTTCTATCTTTCGGTTTTCCACTGCACACAGAACTGACTCTCTCCCATCTGGGCAAGGAGGCCCACACCTTCTAACTCCCTACCATGGAGGTCCACTTGTCTCAGGTCATGTCTTTCTCTCTCTTCCTCTAGGGGTTCATTTTTCAGTCAGAAGTGGGGCCCTCAGGGCCCTGAGTCTACCACCCGCTCCTGGTAGCTTTGTCCTCTGGGCTGCCAGGAATGTCCCAGCTGAGGCTCTAAGAGGCTTAGCTCTTACATGAGCGGAAGCTGGCTAGCCCACAGCTGAGGTTGTACCTGCAGAAGGGGGTTGTGACGCCCCCAGCTGGTTTCAACCGAAGCTTCCTTCTGGCCAATGGGGGGGTCCAAGGAGGGCAACAGATGTAACCCCAGGAGGTAGAAACCTCATACCTGACTTCAGGTGGCCTCCTGGCCAGGGTGGCGTGTTCTCCTTCCTATAGGCATCCATGAGGTCTGGGTTGGGGATATCACCAGGAGTCCTCAGTCCAGGCGCCCCTATCAGAATGGTCTTTCTGGGCAGTAGTGATGGCCAGCAGATCACGGATTGGGCAGGTCTCTTAAGGAGAAGGTTGGGAGATCTGAGGGTCAAAGATAGAGCAGGGTCAAGGCTTCTCCTCATAGGACCTTCTCTGTTTGATCCCTTTACCTGAGACCTTCCCCTCCTCTTTTTTTTTTTTTTTGATCACAGTTAAGTGACTTGCCCTAGGTTACACAGCTAGTAAGTGTTAAGTGCCTGAGGCTGGATTTGAACTCAGGTCCTCCTGACTCCAAGGCCAGAGCTCTATTCACTGGGCCACCTAGCCACCCCATTCCCCTCCTCTTCCAGGGTAGTACTTGACCATCCCAGGTTTGAGTGGGGTGCTTGGTGAACTGAGAAGCCAGCTTATTCTGCCAACCCACCCAACTCAGTTTCCTCATCTTTAAGATGGCAGCATTGAACCCTCTAAGGTCCTTTCCTGTTGTAAATCCTATGAACTATATGCCAGACTCAGGATCCTTCCCTTCCTGGCCCTTCAGACAATTCTTTCTCTGACCCTCTTAGGCAAATGTCTGTCTGACTTTCCTGGTCCCATGTTAATGTCCAGGAAATCAAATGATCCATCACTCAATGAGCATTTATTTACTGTTTAGTCTGTGGCAGGCACTGTGCTAGGCCCCGGAGATATAAAGACCAAAAACTCCAAAACCCAATTCCTTCCCTCAAAGGACTTACATTCTATTGGGGGAGAAAATGTAGTCATAAAAGATTATAGGCAGCTAGGTGGTATACTACATTGAGCCCTAGATTTGAAGTTAGGAAGACTTCAGTCAATAATTAATAAATTAGCATTTATTATGTGCCTACTATGTGCCAGACACAGTGTGAAGTGCTGGACACTGTGACCTGAGTTCAAGTCCTGCCTCAGACCTTTTCTAGTTGTGTGATCCTGGAAAAGTCATTTAACCACCATTTGCCTCCATTTCCTCATCTGTAAAATGGGGATAATAACAGTACCTTGCTCCCAGGATTGTTGCAAAGATCAGATAAGATAATATTTATAAAGTGCTTTGTAAATTTTAAAGTGCTATGTAAATGTTTATTATTATTATTATTAGATGGAAAATACAAAAAATGAACACAAGGAAGGCAGTGGGAGCTAGTTGGAGGGGGGGGAGAATTAGGAAAGCCTCCAGAAGAAGAAAGTTGTGCTTGATAAAAATCTTAAAGGACACAAGGAAGAGAACAATAATTCATTAAGCACCTACTATGTGCCAGGTACTGTGCTAAGAGCTTTACAAATATTTTCTCATTTGATCATCACAGCAACCCTGGGAGGTAGTTATTATTATAATGGTCTGAGGCCAAATTTGAACTCGAGTCTTCCTGACTCCAGGACCAGAGCTCTAACCACTGAGTCGCCCAAAGGCAAGGCGTGCTTTCCAGGAGGGGGATACAACCAATCCAAAAGCAGAGGCCAGCGATGGAGTACCACATGAGAAACAACAAGAAGGTCATTTTGTGTTGGCCCATGGAGTAGAAGAAAAGAGAGGCTAGGGCCAGGTTATGAAGGGTTTAAATGCCCAACAAAGGAATCAATATTTTATCCTAGAGGAAGTAGGAAGCCATTGGAGTTTTAATAAGGGGAGTGATATGGTCAGACCTAAACTTTAGGAAAACCACTTTGGTAGCTGCATGGAGTATAGATTGGAGTGGGGGAGACCAATTAGGAGGCTCCTGAAATAGATCAGGTAATGAGAGGTGAAGGCCTGACCCAGGCTGGTGGCCGTGAGTAGATGCTGATGCTGTGAAGACAGAACTTAATCCAACAAGCATTTTTTCCAGTACCTTCTATGTAGCAGGCACTATCCTACACACTGGGGACAAGGTGTGAAACAGTCCCAACCCTCAGAGAATCTACAACCTGAAAATGGTAAACTTTAGCAACTCAATAGTTACGTAGGGGGAAGGTAGACAGATAAGGCAAGGATGATGCCATGGTAGCCAAACTGGGAGATGGAGAAGATGGTAAAGCCCTCAGGTAGTCCAGAAGTTGGGGGAGGGGAGAGATAAGGAATTTGGTTGTGTATCATTGAATTTGAGCATCTCGGAGTCATCTAGTTTGAAATGTCCAATTGGCAGGTGGTAACATAGAACTGATGCTCAGCGGGGAGACTGAGGCTGGATATATACCTTTGGATCTGGATCATTAGAAATGAGAGTTAAATTTGTGGGACCTGAGGTCACCAAGAAAAGAGAAGGGGGCTCAGGACAGAGGCCTGGGGGATATCCGCAGTGGGGGGGGGGTCATGTGGATGATGAAGCAGCAATGGAAAGTGGGAAGGAGCAGTGAGACAGATAGGAAGAGGACTGAGAGAGGGCAGGGTCACAAAGACTCAGAAGAGCAGGTTATCTAGGAGTAGATTGTGATCACCAGTGTCCAAGACAGATGCAGACAGGTCAAGATGGACAGGAGTGAGAAAAGCCATTGGACTGGCAAGGGATCGTTGGTCACTTTCTGGAAGGCAGCTCCATTTGAATGATGAGATATGAAGCCACATTTTAGAAGGGTAAGAAGTGACAGAGAAGAAGAACTGGAGGTAAGTTGTAGCATGATTTTTTTTTCTTCCCTAAGAAGTTTCGATGAGGAGGAAAGAATGGTAAGGTCTAGCAAAGGACTATTTTTCTTAATGATGGGACATGGCAAAGAATTGAACATTGAGGGGATGCCCACCAACTAAGGAACAAGTTGTGGTATATGAATGTAATGGAATACTACTGTGCTATAAGAAATGATGAGCAGATGGATTTCAGAAAAACCTGGAAAGACTCGTACGGACTGATGCTGAGTAAAGTGAGCAGAACCAGGAGAACGTTATACACAATAACAGCCACATTGTGCAATGATCAGCTGTGATAGATTTAGCTCTTCTCAGCAATGCAATGATCCAAGACAATTCTAAAAGACTCACGATGGAAAATGCTATCCACATTCAGAAAAAGAACTGATGAAGTCTGAATGCAGATTGAAGCATACTATTTTTGCTTTTTTCCCTCCATGGTTTTTTCCTTTTGTTCTGTTTCTTCATTCACAATATGACTAATGTGGAAATATGTTTAACATGATCGCACATTATAACCTATACCAGATTGCTTGACGTCTAAGGGTAGGGGGAGGGAGGCAGAAAAATTTGAAACTCAAAATCTTATAAAAAAATAAATGTTGAAAACTATCTTTATGTGTAATTGGAAAAAATAAAATATTGTTTACATAGTTAAAAATATTAAATGATGGGAGAGACCCAGCTGTTTGTATAGGAGGAACCAGGGGATAAGGATAGATTGAATATTATTGAAAAGGAAAAATTCAGCTGACTATGAGGGTAATTTGCTGGTCAGTATCAATGGCCTATGTAGAGATGTTGGCTTTGGCAAGGAGAGCCACCTCATCATCAGAGGCAGGAGGGAAGGAGGAGAGAATAGGGGATGAAGTCAAGGGCTTGTGAGATGTAAAGATGGAAAGAAGAGGAAAAGCCAGACCTTGTGCTGGTCCAACTGTCTGTCCCCTCTTGATGAGTTTGTGTATCTCTGGCCTCCTGTCCCTCTCCACCCGGAGGGAGCATCTTTGTGGTCAGAATCCTGGTGTCTTTCTACACAGTGCTCCTCCCATCACTGATCTTCTTTTTCTGTGTTTGTCATTTCCTGCCCCACTTTCCCTTCTCCACCATGGTTGTCTATGCCAGATCTTCACTCACATCTGTTTCCCAAGGATCCAATTCATTTGCTTGTTCAATCCCTCCCTTTTCTTCCCATATCTGAGTCTCTACTTAGTGAGTTCCCAGGACTCTCCTCTCTCTCCCCTCCCCTGATTACCCACTGCCTCCCTAGGACCCTCATCTGTCTCCTTTCCATCTTTCTCCAGGATCTTCATCTGTCTCCCCCGCACCCATTCCCAAGACTCACACCTGCGCCTATTCACTGCCTTCCCAGCCCCTTCATCTACACCCCTCTAGCTCTAGGACTCTTATCTACACCCTCCATCCGTCCTCAGAACCCTTATCTTTCTGCTTCACCCCAGGTCTGTCCTTCCTCACCGATCGTCCCCCATTCCCCGCCCCCAGGACCCTTGCCTGTCTGGCTTATGCCTCCCACCCCTCATCCTCATCTGCCTTTCTCCACTGCTCCAGGTCTATCCCTCTCGCTGGCCACCAGGGCTCACCCCATCCACTCTCTTCACTCCTCCCAGGTGCCCCAACTTACTCTGACCCCCAGAAGCACGGCTTCTTCGCGCCTCCCGAGGGGTCAGCTGCCGAGGCAAGTGGGGTCCGGGACAGGGCCAGTAACGACTGACAGCGCCTGGCCGGGCTGGCTGGCTCAAGTTCGCGCTCCGCGGCCTCCAGGCGGGAGGGGGCGGGGCGGGCCGCAGGGGGCCGGCCTAGCTGGACGCTCGCAAAGTGTCTGTGCTTGGCCGCTGGTGCTCCGGCATGCCCAAGATAGGGTGAGCCCAGCTCCGTCCATCGCAAGCGCGGGCTCTGTGCAGAGAACGTGCAGAGATTTGGGCGCTGGTTGCATGCATCTCTGCAAAATGTGCCCGGCTAAAAACCTTTTCCCTGCTCAAGGTGAGACCGAGTGCATAGCTCTTCCCTGGGCCAGTGTGCCCTGCAAACCCCATTCCTGGTTGCAAGCTTGTTCCGTGCACACTAGGTGTGCAGTGTGTCCCTGTGCCACATGTGACCTGATCCAAACTGTCGGACCTGTAAAGAGTAATGTGCCTCTAGAGGTTGCGTGCGGTCGGTGCACATGCCACCATCCCATTCTCCATCGGAATAAAGCATCTGCATTTTCTTTGGCCCTCGTCAGTAGTGCTGGGCACCTCCTCTTGCCTATCTTTTCTGGCAGTGCCCAGACCTAGGGCAGAGGTGGGGCCAAGGCTAGGAGAGCTTGGGTCTCCTTTCAACCTGGGCAGCCCAGCCCCACTGGGTGTTTGCAGGGTAAATCTCTGGCTTTGGGAGCTCTGAGGGGCCCAGACCCTTGCTTCCTGTGTGACCCTGGTGGTGTCACTTCCCTTTTCTAGGGAAAGGGAAGTTTGTAAAATGGAGGGGTTGGCCAAGATGGATCTGAGCTTGTGTATTTCAGCTGTAAAGTCCAATTGACCTCAGAGATAATTTGGGCTCATTTTCTCATTTTATGGAGAAAGGACTGGAAGCCCAGGGAAAACTGTTGGTTGGGAGGTTGGCTGCCACACTAACTGTCCCGTTCCCATGGAACTGGTCGCGGCACCCAAAGCCAAGAGTCACCTGACTGCCCTGTACCCAAACCAACCATCTGGTCACGTGCCAGGTTCTGTTGACTTGGCTTCATAATGCTCTTGGACCTTCCTTCGACCCCCAAAGGAGTCACTCGATCAGTGCAGACCCCTGGAATTGCTTCCCAACTGACCTTCCTGCCTTGTTTCCTGATGCATCTTCCTCTCTGCTAAGGGACACTTAACATGATATATTGGAGTTCTTAACCTTTTTGTGTGTCGTAGCAGTCTGGCAATGCCCACATATCCCTTTTAAGAATCTTTCTAAATAAAGGGAATGCTAAATTTCAGTTGGAGGTTCGTAAGAATATTTTTTTCAGGGGCAGCTAGGTGGCACAGTGCATAGAGCTCCAGCCTTGGAGTCAGGAGGACCTGAGTTCAAATGTGACCTCAGACACTTGACACTTAACTAGCTGTGTGACCCTGGGCAAGTCACTTAACCCTGACTGACTCAGCCAAAAAAAAAAATATATATATATATATATATTTTTTTTTTCCCATCCAAGCTCATGTACCTTTATGTAGGGGTTTGTGAGTCCTTAGTTCGGATATTCCTTATGCTACATGAATGAGTTCCTAGAATCAGAGACCTCGGTGATCATCTGGCTCATTTTATGGTTGAGGAAACCAAGACTCACAGGGTAAGTAACTGGCCCAAGGACACACATACAGTAAGGAACAGAATCAGGATTTGAACCCAATTCCTGCATTCCTCTGACTGCACCACACTATGGTTGTGTAAACACATGAATCCCATGGTTTTTGGTTGGAACCACAGTCCTACCCAGATTGGGGGTCCTGACTCCAAAAGGCCAGTTTCATTGTCCAGCTTAGCTTCCAGATCCACGATGCTGTATCCTCCACCTTCTGCAAGTTCTCCTTGATTCTAGTCAGCCTTGAAAGGAGCCACTTCCATCAAAAAGTTAAAAAAAATCCCAAAACCCAAACCCTAACCTTCAGTGGCTGGCTCCCCGGGGTTTACTATATATGATTCCAGGCTCACCACAAGCTGGCTCCCATCTTTCATTTACCCCACTTCAGCCAAACCAGAACACTTTCCATGCTGTCCTGCCCTCTCCCTTCAGCCCCAGCAGTGCCTCTGCTCATGCCACAAAGCCAGCCTGGGCATCTGACCCTTCTGCTGGCTTAGTGATGCCGCCCCTCCCCTAGCGTCTCCTAGCATTCCACCTGGACCTTTCACTCACACTCCCCCTTAGATGGCCCACGTGAAATCATCTTTACCCCTTCAGACAGGAGGATCCTTGGGCACAGAGATGTCATAGCTGTCTTTGTCTCTGGCAGCTTACACACCGTCTTGTCCATCGCATCATGTAATGGATTCATTTGAGTAAGTAACTTTGCTTTCCTTCAGCTGGGGAGCTCCAGCAGCTGCTCTGGGTGGCCATACAGAAGCCCCCATGGATACAGAGGGGTTCCAGCAGCTGGTCCTCAAGCCTCCCCCATCCTCCTGTTCCTCAGCTGCCTTCCTCAAGGAATGACTGGAATTTCTCAGGCTGGAACCCTAATGAACTGCAGCCAAGGGCGAGAATGATTTTGGGGGCCCCAGACTCAGATGTGGTCTGGGAAGGCTTGAGAAAGGTCAGGGAGCCAAGCCACATTATACTTCTTGCCCTTACGATGCCTTGGAAGGGAAGCCGATCATCAAGGGATGCTGGGGATGCTAGTGAACCACTAGAGGGCTGCTTTCAAACTGGAAAGGTGGGCCAAAGGTCTGAGGCATGTCAGCAAGTATAACCTGGACACACGACCCTGTGACTGACGGAGCCCTCCCCACCCAAGCTGTAGAATCCTTGGCTCAGGAAGGGCTGAGGACCAGGCTGGTGGGGGGATCCCCCTGTTCAAGTACAAAAGAAGCAGCATCTCTCATTTCATGAAAAGCACCTGGAAGCCTCCTCTCTCTGAATGGGGCCATCCTCCCAGCACTCTGGCAGCCCTGGTCCCATGCTGAAGCCACAATGGGTGTGCCAGAGACTGGAAATGGCTTCACAACACGGAGAGCCCAGTGATTGGATTCCTCAAACTTTAATGCCATAACTTGGCAGTTACGTAATGAAGGCAATGGCAGTGTTTCAAAGGCTCCATCCGAGTGTCCACGGTGGAGCCGCTGCCCCTGGGGAGTTGTAAACGTGTCTGAGGGAGAGGCTTCCCTCACTCTTGCCCCATACCCAGCCTCTATGGAAATGCTACCCACCCTCCTGGGGCATGGGGAGGACGGCTACCTTCACTGGCCACACTTAGGGCTGCAGAGACCCTGGCACAGCCTAGGCACTTGGCAGCGTGGCCCTGGAGGTGGGGACAAACAGAGTCAAGCTATTCAAAGTGCATTAAGGTGGGTAAGACAGACCTTGGGGAGTGTGGCGCTGAGAGCCTGGGAGGGGGCTCGCAATTGAAGGAGAGAGACTATCACTCAATCATGAGCCCGTTTCGCCCAAGGGAAGCAGAGATGGTGAGACATTATCCGGTGCCAGAAGCTCATAAACTCTGAGACGGAAGGGCGAGGGTGGAACGGAGTGAGTCTCCAGCGTGGGGAGCTGGAGTGCCCAGCATTAGAGGAGGTTGAGATCTCTGGAGACATCGGGCGGGAGGGGGATCTCAGTACGGCCGGGCCGCCGGCTTGCTCTCCAGGTCTGCGTAGGGGTGAGCCAAGGCAGGGTCTTCCTGTGTGTCAATGGTCTGGTATGCACTGCGCTCCTGCGATGGGCCAAAAGAACCTGGAGATGCAGGCAGAGAGGGAGAGGAAGCATACGGTGAGCAAGGCAACCCCCACAAGCCCCTCCCACAGGATTGTCGTGCCGAGACTGAGCTGCAGTCTCATCGAGCCCTGTTCTGCTTTCCTTCCAGTTAATTGTGGGCCCTGCACGGAGGGCTGCTGGCAGCCCTAGAATCTGGTGGGACGTCCACTTCAACAGGAAATGAAGCAAGGCTGCGAGGGGGCAAGGGGGCGTGGGGGAGGGAGGGAGCATTTCTTAGAGTCTACCACGTGCCAGGCATTGCATAAGTGCTCCGCAACAGCGTTCCGGATGGCCCTGCTGCCCATTTGGAGGGGACGCAGGCTGTAATGGGATGGAAAACAGTGTCGCAAAACTGGGATGTTTCCTGCCCTGTCTGAAGGCCTGTTTGAGAATGCACGAAACAATGCAGGGGGGAGGCTGGGCAGATGTAGGACCACTGTACCTCAAGAGAAAGGTGGTGTTCACGACAGAGAAAGTGTTTCCACTGGGCCCTGCCTGAGGGTCCTCATCCCACCCTGGGGGGTAGCTGGGTAGGGCAGACTTATGCAGCAAGGAAGCCAGAAGCCCTGGCAAAGATCCCGAGCCTGAATCATGGCTGGAGGCCCAGCTGACAGAGCTTGGCCTGTATCAGCCCCTGAACCCTCAGAGCTAAGCCCAAGAGGCCAGGCTCAGCCTACATCTGAACATTCCTTTCCATAGACCCTGGGGTCCTGCCTGATGCTAGGCTGGGACTGTATCTGCCCGTTAGAGCCAAAGGGAAGGCTGAGGTTTGTTCATCTGCTTTTCCAATTGGGCCAGGGAGAAGAGGAAGAAAGAGGAAACGTGTCTTCTTTGTGGCCCAGAGGTGGGGAGGAGGAAGTCAACTGAGACATCTCCCCACAGTAACCAAACTGTCTTCTACTCATGTTCTCTAGGGCAGAGCAATACAAAAGGAATCCCCACATCTTCAGCTCCCATCCCATAGGGCGTAGAGCAGATGTGGGGGTTGTTGGGCCACCACAAACATCAGAGAAGGGAGTCACTGTGGGAGGAGAAGCAGGGCCAGGAGAGGAGTCAGGACCCAGAGCAGCAGCACAGCCCGCCTGCACACGCCGCAGCCTCACCTATGTTGAGGATGAACTCGCCCCCTCGCTCTCGGTACATGTGGTAGACAAAGAAGCAGGACAGGGGCTTCAGGAGGAGGCTGAAGATGGCCATGCCCGTGCTGAAGCGTATCGTGTCATTCAGCGGGATACCATGTGGGTAGAAGATGCTGATGTAGACGATATCCAGGAGGATGGTGATGGCCAGGCCCACCAGAAACTGCAAAATACAAAGCACGGGCAGTGCCCACAGGGCTGAGCTTGGGCAAAGGCCCTGCTGGGGCTGAGGGAACCCCAGGCTTCTACAAAGCAGGACAGAAAGGCTAGAATGCTGGGCAAGAACCCTGCTTCTGCCTTCTGAGAGAGGCCGGGCTTCAAGGGAGAGCTCATCCCCAAACTCCAATCAGTCATGAGCAGTCACCCCATTACCTTACCCTTAAAAGGGGCAAAAAGGACACAGAACAGAAGGTGGCACTATTATTTGCTTGGCATAAATCACAGTGGATCAATGATTATTTCAAGGGCTTAGAGAGGAGGGAAGGGGAGAAAAGCACAGGAAGTGTGAGAGAGGCCCATGGGAAAGTGCTGCCTTCACTGCCAGAGGGCTTGTGGGGGGCTGGGGGTAGGGTGGAGAACTGCCTTAGCTTAGGTCGACCTTCCACGCAGGAGTAAGCACTCACTCCTCCTATAGGCTGGGCCTCCAGTGACAAGAAAACTCATTTGTTTCTTCTCAAAGAAGTCACTGTGCCAGACTGTGTCCACTAGTTGCTAAGTCCTTGAGCCCACCCTGGTTCAACAGAGGAAACCTTTGGCTTTTGTCTGTAGCCTCCAGGTCTGCCAAACGGAAGCCTCCCCAAACCCTGCCAGGTATTATCTCCATCTGGCGGGCTGGAGAGAGGCGAGCTGCTCATGGTCATGGACACGCAGCCAGCCGGCTGTCACTAGGAACAGACTTCCTGCTGAGGAGGCTGCTCCTGCCAGCTCCCCAGGAGGGGCTGGCTGGCATCAGACACCTCACCCGGTCCATTCGGCTTTTCTCTCCTTATCTCCCTCCCCCTGACAAATATTGGCCATGCGAGCCTGGGCATGTTACTTTCAGGCTCGGGCAACTCTCTGAGACTGTGAGCTGCAAAGTAGGCACACCTGAGAGCTCCCTCTACCACTGGAATCACATGACTGGTCCCCATCGCTAGCTCTGTCCACACTGGTCCTGCATGGGGACTGCATGAACCCAGCGCCTCTCCCCCTCCCTCCTCCAATGCTCTCCTCCTCCACCCAGCCCCTTCTAATTTAACAAACATTCATTTTTTCGTTTGGTTATTGGTACTGTATCAAGGCTCCTTTCCTTTTCTCCATCATTAGAACCCCTTCTTCTCTTCCTAGTTAGCGGTACATATCTCCTAAGGCCCAGCTCAGAACCCATCTCCTTCCCACAAACCAGCCCCAACTAACTCTATCCCACCCTGACCTCCACCCTTCCTTCCTTCCCTCCACCCCATTGCACTCAGCATTGATTATGACCCCTGGAGGACCTTGTCTCATTCTCTAATTGCTTCAGGAAAGAAAGGCATTTACATCTTGTCACACCAACTAAATAGGGAGCTCCTTAGGGGCTGACTCCCCTCCACCAGTGTCTGTCTACACAGCACTGGGCACAGAATAGATGCTCCAAAATACTTGTAGAATGAAGGTGTACCAGTGCTGGGAAGGAGGGTTCATGTGTCCCTGGGCTTTCCTACATCAAGGTAAGGTCATTTGTTTTGAGGAAAGCAAGGAAATCTCTTTATAAAAGTACTGGGGGTGGAGATGGGGTTGGATTGGGTCGAGACAGGGGGTGAGCCCATGAAGCCAGCTTGGAAAGGGCCACTTGCGTAGGCCAGATAAATCGAAACAAAGAACATGGCATCCAGCATTCCTTCCCAAAGGAAAAGCCAGGCTGCTGGTGAAGAGCGTGCCCAAGGGCTGAAGACTGGAGTGCTCTGGAAAAGGTTTTGAAAGTGAAAGTTTGGTCACTAGGGACACAAGAAGGAAGGAAAGGAAGGCTGGGGAAACTTATGTGAATATGGAGGAGAAAGAAGCTGAGCAGGGCCTTAGAGGAGAGCTGGGAATAGAAGTGAAGAATGGTGAAAATAAAGGCCCCCCAGGGCTGTCAGCCCCCAGGCATCCTGTCCAGGTCACCCGACCTTCCCCCAATCCCTAAACTCACCATAATTATGGCATCCAGGGAATCTCGCTGAGCAATGGCCCACACCCCCAGGGCCAGGACAGTGAAATTAGCCCAGGCATAGGAGTTTGAGAATGTCAAACAGCCCCTGGCAAAAGGAGGCACACACACACACAGTCAGTCCCACCAGATTAATACCTGGGCTAGGTCCTTTCTCACTTCTCACTGCCTACTCACACCGCATTAGTCTTCAGCTCTTTTCTTCATTATTTTTTAAAAATACATCTGAGGCCTCTTCCCTTTATATCAGTCATTTCTTTAAGCAAAACAAAACACTCCCTCCTACATGCCCAGACAGAATCCTTCCTTGTAACAAAAGCATCCCATACACGTGCCAGTATACAAAACACCTGGCTGGAGTAGTCTCCCACATTCTCCTCTTAGGAAGGAGTTCTATTTAATCATCACTTCTGCAAGTTCACCCCTGGTTTCTCCAGCTACTCTGAGTTTAGAAGAATAATTGTAAACCACTCAGCAGGATGCCTGGCATACAGCAGGCACTTAATAAATGCTTGTTTCCTTCCTTCCCTTTAGTGAACTTTTCCTTTACAGTGTTGTAGGCACTGTGTCTACAGTTCCTTTTGTTCTGCTTAGTTCAGGCTGTATCTGTTGGGGCTGAATCTTCTAATTCTCTGAATTCCTCACATTTGTCATTTCTTCCTGCCCAGTAATCTTCCATACCATTAAGCTACTATAGGTCAGCTTAGCCCTTCTGTAGCTGATGGTCACCCGCTTTGTCTCCCGCTCTTGGCTGGTGCAAAGAGGGCGGCTACAAACACTTGGAAATCTGTCAGCCATGTGGTCCTATCTTTGGCCTCCTTGGGGTGTGTGCTTAGAAACAGATCCCTAAGTCAAGAAGTGTGTAGGGGCAGGTTACTCACGCTGTTTAAAAAAATCCAAATATGCAAAAACCGGATAAACAAGTCATAGTCTCACCCATAGGACTTCAGTGGGCCAATCTTACCAAGACTGACTGTTTACCACTGTTTTATCGTTTTTGTCAGTTTGAGATGTGAGATGAAATCTCCGCTTTATATTAACTGAATTTTTATTACTGTCAATTTTTTTTTATCACTGTATAATTTGGAGCATGTTTTCAAATAGTCACCTATAGTGTGCCTTAAAAAAAAAATCATATCCTTTGACCACTTATCTGGGAATGGAGCTTGATATTACCTATGTGCCAATTCCCTGTACAGAGTGAATATTGGACTTTTACTGGTGGTATTTGATGTCGATAGTGTTCCCACTCTAGGGTTTCTCTTTTTGTTCTATCTTCATTAATTTCATCGGTTTGAAAGTTTTCAAATTTTGTATAATTAAGATTGTCCAATTTCACTTCTAGGATCTCCTCTATTCCTTGTTTGGTTATGGATTCTCTTTCTTGTCTCTTTTGATTTTTTTCAATGAAATGATCTTTTGTATTCAAATCACGAATCCTTTTTGACTTCCTGGTGGCAGAGGATGATCAATCAAAGTCTGCTGTCTGCCCGGCCATTTCCCAGATTTCCTATCGCTTCATGTGAAAAACGGAATCCATCCTCTAGGTAATTATGTTCTTGAGTCCATCCAGCACTCATCTTCTGTTGTGGATTGTGTCTGCTTTCTCTATTTATCCCACTGATTTGTTTTGTTATGCTTTTTTAACCAGTATTATTGGATTGATAATTTGAATGGAATGGCACTAAATCTATAATTTAGACAGCATGGTCATTTTTATTCTGGTATTATGGCCTAATCGTGAATACTGAATAGCGCTACAATTACTTAAAACTTTTTCCTTTATTTCTGTAAAAAGTATTTTATAGTTATATTTTACATACATATTGCATATATCTTGGTAGGCCAACTCTTGGGTATTTGGTATTCATAGTTTATTTGAATAGAACTTTTCAGTATTGTTTCTTTTTGGGTTTTGATAGCATAGAAATGCTGATAATTTCTATGGATTTATATTACGTCCTGCTAGAGTCACAAAGACCTGATTTCAAATTTGGCTTCTGACACTTCCTAGCTGAGCAACCCTGGGCAATTCACTTCACCTCCGTATGCCTCAGTTTCTTCACCTTTAAAATGGGGATAATAATAGCACCCACCTCTCAGGGTTGTGTGAGGATCAAATGAAAAAATTATTGTAAGCGACTTATTATAGTAAGCTCTATATAAATGTTAGCTATTATTGTTATTATTATTACTTTACAGAAACATTTATCACAGTTTCTTTGCTACTCCCCTACAGTTTCTACATACATCATCAGGCAAACTGAAAAGAGGGAGGTTTTTATCTTGTCCTTGCCAATGTTTATGCCTTGAACTCTGTTCTCTTATTTTACTAAGACAATGAGCATTTCTAGAAGTGTGGCAGATAATAGTGGGAATTGGGGGCCGCTGCATTACTACTGTTTAAATTTGTGTTCTGCTAGTGTTTTTATATTGAGAATACTGGCTAACTCTCGCTTTTAGATATATGCTTTTGATCATGATCGGAGGTCTTCATGTGATTATTTTTATGTAATTATATGTAAATATATACATATAAATATATAAAAATGTATTTGTATAATACATTTTTATGTATTATTTATAAATTTATTTAATCAAGAGTTTTTTCTACATCCATTGAAAATTAGGTAGTTTTTATCATTTAGGTAATTAATTATGCAAATCATTTTCTTACTTCTGTACCATCCTATATGTGTGGTATGAATCTAATGACCTTACACTGAATTATCTACTGGCTATGTTGCTGTAATCTTCTTGCAAGGATCTTACTTACAATGTTTGCAATCACATTCATTAGGAAGATTGGTTTAGAGTTCTCTGTTTCTGCTTTATCTCTTTCTGGTTTGTCAAGCTAGGTGGCATGGTGGATGAAGCGCCTAGATTGGAGTCAGGATGACCTGAATTCAAATACACCCTAAGATACTTTCTAGCTGTATGACCTTGGGCAAGTCACTTAATCGCTGTCTGCCTCAGTTTCCTCAATTGTAAAATGAGGATAACAATAACACTCACCTCCCAGGGTTGTTGTGAGGATGAACTGAGACAATATCTATAAAGCATTTGGCATGGTGCCTGGCACACAGTAGGCTGAATGCTAGTTATTATTATCCATCTGATCCAGTTTTGTTTCCTGTTGGCAGTTCATTTACAGCTAGCTTTTTTTTTTTTTAAGTGAGACTGAGTTACTTAAGATCTGTGCTTTGTTAATTTGGGTGTTTTGTATTTTCGTGGACACTCAGCCACTTCCTTCGAATTCTTAGTTTTGCTGATACGATTGTGTGCACTCGTTTGTAATAATTTTCTTTCTCGTTTCTCCTTTTTCTTTTTTTGGGGCAATCAAGGTTAAGTGACTTGCCAAGGGTCACACAGCTAGTACAGTATCTGAAGCCAAATTGGAACTCAGGTCCTCTTGACTCCAAGGCCAGTGCTCTATCCACTTGGCCACGTGGCTGTCCCTTGTTTCTAATGATTTTCTTCTTTTCCTTCTCCGTTGTGAATTTACCTTGTTCACTTTTTATTTTGGCCACCTGAATTTCCTCTCTTTTTCTTGGATCAAGTCAGCTAATGGTTTATCTATCACCTGGTAGTTTTATAAAACAGTTCTTAGTTTCATTGTTCACACTGTCTATTTTCAAATGTCTCTATTTTGCCCCAAGTGTTTGATATTTTTCTTTGTATTTTTTAGGGTAATTTTGTTTTCCTTGTCTTTTTAATTTCATGTCTGGCCCCTGATGCTCTCTTTTTCCAATGCGGTGATGTAAGTTTTTAGAAAGATACATTTTCCTCTGAGAGCTGCCTTGGCTTCATTCCAAAAGTTCTGTAATGTTCCTGCTTAGGACATCTGCTCCCACAGATCACCAGCCCCCCAATAATGAAAACTCATCGCCAGATGACTCACCATGTCGTCAGCAGCCAGTGCACCAGAACGATGGCCTACAAGAGCAGAGGGGCAGAAGGAGGAAGAAGAGAGGGAGATACACAAGTCAGTGAGTCTGAAAAACTATGGCAAAAGAAATCTGGAGTGGCGAGATCCTGAGGAGAAAGAGGGCTAACAAACACTTCAACATCTGACCTGCCCATGCGTGGTAAAGCAGAACGATGCAGCCTGGGAGAAAAGGAAAGGCCCAGGAGGCATGCCGAGGCCAGGCTCATCTGAAGTCCCTCTCTTGTCTCCCTTCCTTTATGGCAGTAAGTCCCATGATATGAGGCTAGTTCTTAGGACAGTTCTATGGACATTTGGAGCCCAGTCGGGGCCTCTGAGGTAGATGATTGATTTCGGACTCAGAAGGCAGTTTGAGCGACAACAGCCTAGGCCAACATGATTTTAACCATTGAGTTTTTGCGCGCGCGCGCGCGTGTGTGTGTGTGCGCGTGCGCGTGTTTTCTCTTCAGGAAGATGCAGCTGAGGTGGGAGGCTATAGTTTGGGGTCTGGTTCCCTCACCAAGATGAAAGTCTCCTAAAGGCCTCCTACAACACCCAGAATGCTGGCAATGGGAGGCAGGCGAACTGTTCAGATTGGCTTGGTGGTGGGAGAGCTCCGCATCCACAAGGCCATGGGGGTGAGACGGGCCTGGCCAGGGGCAGACCCTACCATCAGGGATGCTGAGCATCAGTCCCAGCTCCAATCAGCAAAACCAGCCCTTCGGAAATCCCTTCTCCTTCTAGGTATGACTCAGTTGTCAACAGGGACATGAATGATCTTACATATCTTTGTACCAACGAGCAGTCTAGAAGTCTATTGTGAGCAGTCAGAGAATTTAAATGCAAGAGAGATAAGGATGAGGTCTATACCCCTCCCAGCCCCTAGAGTCTCAACTTCCCCATTACTAATAAAGAAGCTGAGGCTGACTGAGGCCCAGGGCCTGGCCCAAGGTCACAGAAGGAGAGGTGGCGCAGCAAGGAGTAGCAGCCAAGCCTTCTGGCTCCCGGCCCAAGGTCAGATGGAACTGGAGGGGGGCAAGGCATTCCTGCCTCCTGCACCCAAGCCCATCTCCCCACTAAGTTAAATCAAGGCTTTCTCCCGACTTCTCAGCGTTTCTTGACTGGCACTGACTCCTAAGTTCAGGCTGTACAGATCTTAATTTGAGTATTTGAGTAGCTTTCCTCTACTCCAAGCCAGATCAAGCAGATCTATAAACAGATTCTTAAATGAGACTGACATTTACAAAATAATTCACCTGCAGGGTTCCTTCAATCCCACCTCAACTACAGGAATGGGGCATCCAGGTAGCGCCTGGAGGCAGGAAGACCTGAATTCAAATCTAAACTCAGAGACTTGCTAGCTATGTGACTCTGAGCAAGTCACTTAACCCTGTTTGCCTCAGTTTTCTCATCTGTAAAATGAGCTGAAGAAGGAAATGGCAAACCGCTCCAATATCTTTGCCAAGAAAACCCCAAATGGGGCCATGAAGACTGAAATGATAACAACCACAACAACAATAGGTAAAGTTGTTTTTTCTTAAAGCTGAGCATCCTCGCACTGCCACTCACTGTGTGACCTTAGGCCAGTCACTCAGTTTCCAGAGGCTGGACTGATGGTCTCTAAGGTTGCCCCTTCCAGCTCTAACATAACATGTTCTAAGGTCACTTCTGGTCCTAAGAACCCGCTGCCTAGCTAGCACCTGGCAGATAGCTCCAAATCTGCTCACTCCACCGAACCACGCAAGGTCCTTCCACTAGAAGAAACAGGCTGGCATAGAAACCCCCGGATCACGGGTTCCTTCCTGGCCCGCTGGATCAGGCTGATACAAGAGCAGAAAGCAGTGGTGAACCTTTCGTCAGCAGTGGGAGAAGTGATTTGTTTCAGCATGCCTAGCCTTCGGTCTGGGAGAGCCAGGGCCCACCTACTCCGGGATGAGCTGATGAGCCCTGAATAGCTCCTCCAAGGAGATAAACCCCTTTCCCTTTTCAGAAAAGGTCTTCAGAGGGGGAGCCAGACGATCATCATTAGCAACACAAATATGGTAACCAAGGAGATACTGAGTTTTTCTACACAGTAGCCAAGTGTCTCTCTTGGTTACAGATATGTGTGTGTGTATGTGTGTATGTATGTCTGTCTGTCTGTATGTATGTATGTACACACACATATACATATGTACATAGATATGTATCTGTATACATCATGTATGTGTGTATGTTTGCGTGTATGTGTGCATGCAAGAATGTATGTATGTATATATATCAGCTAGGAGGGGAAAGGAGCCCAGGGGATGACAGCAGAGGGGGAGGGAGGGCTAGATGAAAAGTGAGTCTGTACTAACATCGAGAGCTTTCTTGACAGGTGCTTCCTTGCTAGGTCTGTCGGCTAGGTGTGATCGGCCCCATTTTACAGGGAAGAGAACAGCTACAAGGAGATGATACTGAAAAGGGGGGAGAGAATGCCAGACACGCCTGGCACGTCTCATCCAGTACAGCAGCTTGTTGTAGATGACAAGCACCTCTGGGCTGGTCTGGGGTTTGGGTCTGTCTGGCTGGGAGAGGGCAGAGTCGTGGTCTCAGTCGTTGGGAACAGCCCAGGGGCTGACTACTGTGACAGCCAGACCAGAAATGGAGGGGAGGGGGGTTAAAATAAGAGGGAGAAAAACCAGGAAAGAAAAGTGTCATAAAAACTGAGGTAGGGTCCAAAAGGACGATGAACAAAGTAAGGCCGTTAGCTCCAGCAATTATGAGACCACAGGAGCACAGACGTAGAACAAGAAGGGACCTTAGAGGTCATTAAGTCTAATCCCCTCATTTTACAGATGAGGAAACTGAGGCTCAGAAAGAAGTGACTTACCCAAGGCCCCTGGGGGCGCCACAGTGCACAGAGCGCTGGGCCTGGAGTTCAAATGCAGTCTCAGACACCTAAGATGCTTTATGACACTGGGCAGATCCGTTAACCTGTTTGCCTCAGTTTCCTCATATGTAAATGGGGAGGGAAATAATAGCACCTACCTCACAGAGTTGTTGTGAGATAACACTTGTAAAGTCCTGAGCACAGTGGTAGACACATAGTAGGTGCTACACAAAGGCTTCTTCCCTTCCCTTCTCCGAGGGTTAATATGGGGCAGGGCTGAGAAAGGTCCTGTGACTTCTGATTTGAGTACCCTTCCCATGGTCTGGCCCCTCCTCCCCCCCTCCCCCGGTCACCTTGGAGATAGCAGTTTCAGTGGGTGGTGAGGTTCCCAGCCAGCCTGCCACAGGAATGAGGGGGAGGCAGGCAAGTGGCAGAGCCAGCAGGGACCACTGTTTTTCTGGGACTCTGTCTGTGACAAGGAAGGGAGACGCAGCACAGAGCTTGAAGGGTCGGGACAAAGGGTAGAGAAGCCGAGGGTAGATCTGAGGTTTATGGGCAGCCGGGAAGAAGCTCGTGGAGAAAAGGAGCCCGAGGATCAGAGAGAGAGAGGGCATGACTACAGGGGCCAGCACCCAAAGGAGCTGGAAGGAGAGGAGGTCAAGGGCACAAGGGGGAGCTCCCCCTTTAACCGGGAATGAGAAAAACGGGACAGAAGAGAAGAGAAGGGGATGATGCTGAAGGGACTGAAGAGAGTCCAGAGCAAGTGAGAGGAGAGATGGAGGGTGGGGGGCCATGATACAGGAATTTCAGAGTTCAGAATGTGGAGAGAGAACACTCATAGGTCATGAGGAGATCTACGGTCTGATCACAGAGCATGTGTGTGTGTGTCTAGGGTAGGGTGTGTGTGTGTGTGTGTGTGTGTGTGTGTG